ACCTAGTACAATGACTTTTATTAGGAATAAAGACTTCTTATTACTGGTGCATTTGTGTGTGCGGGGGTCATTATGTTACTGCTATGTGGTATCTAGTTTATTTGTGTGTGTGAAAGAACTTGAGGATGATGGGGCTCAGAAACTCCGATTAATATTATTAAAACCCACATTTTTTTCTAATTTACAAAGCAGATAACACTTGGAATCACAACATTTTTTTCTGTATTTTTCAGTCCTCCTGATTCAGTTTTATCACTGTTATTAAATTTGCACAAGTTTCTATTTTTGATTTTTGAAAACTCTGTCTTTAGTCAAAATTCTATGGAACCACATCAGACTTGTGCACCAGTATTTCCTCTTTGCGACAAATTTCTGCATCAGTCCAAGATGGAAGCTGCTTTAAARGACAGCGTGAGTTCAGTAAATGTTTAGCAACACTAACAGGATGTAAGATAATTTGCACATGAACTGAAAAGTGAAGAAATAGTGTTTTTTGTCTCAGTGTTGTACATTCATACCTGRGTGTGGCTTTATTTCTGTCTGGTTTTGAAGCTGGAGGAGCCACTGCCAGCTTTATTTCAGTTTAATACTCTAAATAAAAGCAGCTGATCCTCAACGTTTTAGAAATCAAGAAATTTCATTTTTTTCTTTCTTCTTATCAAATTGACCTTCAGACTCATGKTGACTCAAACATTTTGCTGCAGCACACATGGCTCATCCTGAAAAAAGTCCCTCACACACCCCTGATCATTTGATAAAACACACAAAGAACATACAATACCCAAACATATTGTTGTTTAGATATTTAGCTTACTTTCACTAAAATAATTGTCTCATTTGTTTTTTWWAAACTGTTTCCCTTTTATTCCAGAGATCACAAGCAGTATTTGGACTCACATCCTGTCAAAATTTTTTAGCTTCTGTTTGCTCTGTTCAACAACTACATTTACAACTCAGTCTTGCAAAGGCACATGATGACAGAGGGTTAAAACAAAATATGTGACCCATCACATCAAACTGAGGACTAAGTCAAATTTGGTCAAAATGAGCTCAGCGTATTTATTTTGATCATCATGATGTGAGCTATTCCAGAGATATGCCTTGATTTRTCTTCCCAATCAAGATAACTCATTGATATTTTGTCTGAATCCTATTTTTATGGGACAAAAGCATTTATATCCATATCTGGATATTGAGATTTACCAGCTGAGAAAAAAATATTTGCTAGTTCTGCTCAAAGCCATGTTTATTTGTAGCTACAGCTAAAGAAAGAGTTAAAAAAGATCATAATTCAGATATTTCATTTAAACGACATGTAGATAAGATATATATTCATTATAATTTGACAAAATGCAATAGTTGCCAATGTTCTATTCAATGCACTATGGCTGCCTAATGCTCCTTATACATTTATGACTTTAATCCTCAGTCATGTGGGTCACATTTATTACACTGTACATCTTAATGTAAAGGTTGTGGGTTTATATAAACTATCAAAAGGCAAAAAAAAATTGTATCTTGAGTGTGGCGGGAACAAACACTCATATCTAACTGATGTTAAAGAGCTTAATATAGTTTTCAAATGTTTGTGTAAAATCTGTACTTCTGTGAGAAATCCTTTCCATATTCAAGTGCAATGAGTTAAATAAATTAAACTATGTTATTAACATTCAATTAAAAATACAYTGTATGGTAACAGCACACAGATCTTACCTACCATTTGAGGGCAGCACTAAATGAAATATGGTCAAGGTCAGATTGTCACAGGCACTTGTATGAAGCACTTGTTTTATAATGAAATAGATATTCAGTAAGAAGAGTTTATTATAAGGCACTCTAGAAAAAAAAGTGAGCATAATGGTGCTGTATTTAGAAGGATGCTGGATGTGATCATTTCATTAAACGGTGTCATTCTGAAGCTGACCAGTAGGTGGCGGTAATGMAACAACTGATAAATCTCAAGAGAAGAAGAATGAAAAACTAGCAAACACAAACAAACCAAGAACCATTGCCAAGAACTGTCCAGCTAACTTAAGGTGTGTAAGTTTTACATGATTTTTAAATTAAATTTTCCACCAAAAGAGTAGAAATAAACTATGTACGGTGGTGACAGATAAATGGCAAGGACTTACCCTGTTATTATTTATAACAACAGCTAATTAGCTAAAAGTCAGCTAGTGCTAATTTGTTTTCCTACTTAGTTTGGAACGTGAAAATATAACATCGCTAGTGAAAACAGCCTAACATTGTCTAATTGATAAAAATGACTGTGTTAAAGTCAAGTTAAACGACTGAAATTGCGACTACACCCCACCCTCCTGCCGTGTGCGGAGGCAGAGTAGAAATACAAACAAAAGCGCAGAAAATGAAGCTTAAAGAAAATCTGAGTTCTAACTCTGGACCTTAGTGATCCCATTTATCAGACTGCGATTGTGGGAAAAGGAAATGCAGAGAAGATTAGCTCTGTTAACGAAAACAAGTGAGTTTTACGACCATGAAACGTAGAAACAATGTAGTTTAGCCTGTTTAGACTGGTCAGAACAGTAATAAGTAGTTAGCTTTCACCTAGTTTTACATAACGTGTTGTCTTTATTTGTCTAAACGAAATAATTGAGAATCTCGAGTATATGGTGTTAAAAATACACACTAGTCACCGTTTTCCAGAAGTGCTCGACTTCCTGGATTTGCCTTTGTAATCTTAATAGATCGGTTCACACTGACTCACTCTGCTTCTCCACTTCACATTGGGTTTGTTATCTCTGTGTGTGTATTTGCACAGATTTATCACCTAAATGGTCTATTTGAAGTAGTGTAAGAAAATTTGTTCAGTGATTTGTTTCAAACTTGTGCCTGGATTATCCCATACTCTAAAAAAATGAACATAAGTACATTTGGAAATTGACAGGTACTTGCTGGTTGGCAGTAAATAAGTAAATGTTATTTATAAAGCCCGCTTCATTACAATGTGCTTCACAAGGAACAAAAATAAAATACATACRATTTAAGCTTAAAAGCATACAATAAAACAAGTTAATGTGACTAATGAAACATTAAGTAATACATTTAGCTAAAAGTGTGTCTGAACAACAGTGTCTTAAGCTGATTTTAAAAAAGGATCAGAGTCAGCCTCATGAAGACACGGGGCGTTTCCACAATCTAGGGACTCTTGTTTGAAAGAACTGGTCCCCATGAGTTTAAACTGTGTTTTAGGAAACTTCAGGAGTTTAAAAGAAGTTGAGTAAGTCCTCTGGACGAGTTTGTCTTTGTTGAAAAAAACAAAAATATTTAGTTGCTTCTTCAGTGAAGACATCTCTTGGAGARGAGATAAAATTTTAAACAAAGAAAAACCTGTCCAGAGACCTACTCAACTTTTTTTTTTTAATTTTTTACCAGGATTAATGAGATGCATCAGGACATTTTGGCCTGAAGACCAAAGATTGCAGCCATAAGAGTAAAGAGTCAACATTTCTGTCAGTATACACTGATTCTTTTGTTTTTTCCACATTTCAGAGGAACTGGAAGCAAACAAGGATGGTCCACCTTGGTGTGTGGCGCCTAGAGACTCAACTGAATGTCCTTATTCTGGGTTTCTGCAGCATATTGATCCCTTCACCCACACATGGATATATATATGCTGTAAGTGAAATGGCAGTTTTTAATTGACAGATTTTATAAAAGTTTTGTCTGTAAAGTGTAAATTKTTTCACATCTTGTTCTGATTTATGTCCRTATCTTGGCAGCATTTTAACAACATGACCTCCATATTGTTTGAGGACCTACCTGCCATTTTTGGACCTTCACTTCCTAAGGAGGGTTTAATGGTGAGAGCRGATGTCTAAAGAAAGACTGTATAATAAAAACTTCCTTTATTTTTCTTTATAACAACTTTTTTTTCCTTTATGTTAAAGGGAGTTCTGGTGGTGTCCAAACCACTTAATGGGTGTACAACAATGGACCCTCCTCCTAAGAATCTGAGCATTTATAACGCCAACACCACCAAATTTATTGTTCTCATTAAACGTTATGAATGCAATTTTGATATAAAGGTCAGTAAAGTTTAAAATAGAATAATTTAAGAGYTGTATGTTACAAACTAGACTAATGTAATAAACTGGTTATAGGTTTTGAACGCACAGCAAGCTGGATACAGTGCTGCGATCGTACACAACGTAGACTCAGATGTTCTTCTCAACATGAACTACAGTAATGGTAAGTGTTCATAAAATATAGGCTGTTGCAGCGTTATTGTCATCCTACTAAAGAATTCAAATTTGAAGGTAAATATATTTAAACTTAGCACAAAAAGAATGGGATGCCATCCCACAGTTGTGTGTGACCAGCATGAGGAGGAGGTGCCGGGCTGTTGTGGCTGTGTATGGTTCTTGAGGCTCCTGTTTGTTAAATTAATAAATTATTAAATTGACGACGTTTTGTTCAAACTTCAATCAAACACCAAATGAGCCAATGGCAGAATAAGCTGTTTGGCAGAAAGGATTTGGCGAAATGTCCGTGTGCGTAACTCAGACACTCAGCTCTACTTCTCATCTAACAAATGCATGTTCCTTACAAATGTGGCACCATTTAAAAGGGATTTTAACAGGCTTTCCAACAGTATAAGATTTATTGTCAAGAAGCACTGTTACAACAAAGAAATAATCTACCAAACACCAATTTACCTCATTTTTGTGCTAAGTGTTTATAAATTTTTTCCCCTCAGAAACTATAGCAGACCAGATTCAGATCCCCTCAGTTTTCACCAGCTTCTACGCTGCAGAGACGCTCAAGAAAATCATAATTCCAGAAGTTGGGTGAGAAAAAGTATATTTTTTAGAACGTATACTACAAGTAGTTTTTTTTTACCAAGACTGAACCAATGTGCCCGATTAAATTTGAATGGAACAACAAATACATTTATTTATTTATTTGTTTGTTTGTTTGTTTGTTTGTTTGTTTGTTTGTTTGTTTATCCCCCTCGATCTGCAGGGCCTACGTGATCCTCAAGCCAGCTTTTTCTTTTCCAATATCGTATTACCTCATTCCTTTCACTGCTGTTGTTGGGATGGTTATTATTGTCATGTGTATAATTTTGGTAAGTATGTTTACATATTATTATTATTATTATTATTATTATTATTATTATTATTACCTGCAGTTGAAATACAGACATGGAGGATTATTGTGTATTTTTGTGTGTGTGGATGTCTTTTAGCATAATCTCATAAACCACTGGACAGATTTTAATAAAACTTAAAGAAAAGTCACTAAAAATGCATCTACTTATTATTGTTTGGATTCAACTTGAATAAAGATGGCTGCCACCACCAAATGGCCTTCTACACAAAAACTGCTGGATCTCAGTCAGTTTTACAGATTTTGAGCTATRATTTGATGTGGTCATACTTGAGTAATCCCCAYCATATTCACTGAGCATGACATCTTGTAAAATCCAAATTTATTTTTAAGGTTAGACCAAAATATCCTCACATTTTTCATTTCTCAACATAAGCAGATCTTAGTGTAAAACTCCAGCGTTAAAGGAGACGGGCTATAAATACGTTCTTGATTTGCTTCAGAAGAGTTTTTATTGTTACTGCACAGAAGCTTGGATGTTGTTTCTTATTCGTAAGTTGCTTCGGGTAAAAGCATCTGCCAAGTCTAAATTTACAAGAGTTAGATTTTTTTTCTTCTTAAACAGTCGATTCTGTTTCTTTGTATTGCACTTTGACCATGAGGCGATCTTTTCTTCTTGGTAGTGGAACAGTGACCTCATTGTACTTCAGCAAAGCTGCAGTAAGCCACTGTTGTTTTTAGATGCTTTATTTGTTCRCTAAGTCTGTGTCTTTGATTTACATAAGGCAATAGAAATGTTTTTTTCTAAATCACCTCATTTTTAAAGTGTCTGTGACCTGCATACGCTTTAAATACAAAATGTCAAAGAAAACACCTTTTACTTTTAAAATAACTTTAAATAATACACATGATTTTATCCATTTTGTCCCAAAACTGGCAAAGTTTCTTCTYAACTTGGCTCAGCAAAAGTGATACAGGAAGTGACATCAAAGGGGAACTCTTTAAGAACGTGAACTCTGGACTTTGTTTATTGAAGCAATGTTATTTAAGCTCCGACTCTTCTTCCTCTTTCTGATAGTGACTTCAAATAATCTAAAGAAACATCAGTTTCTTTACAATCAGTGTTGCTAACTATTGTAGCAATGSCTTGTTTACGTGCAGACATTCCTCTTGGACATCACTTCCTGTTACTTCACATGTGAATAAATCAACAGCAGTTTATCTCAGCGGTGTGAATTTTTTGCACTGTTTAATCACTGTTATTTGCATAAAAATTTGATGTCACGGGCACTTTAAATGAATGCTTTGGTCCCGAATGTCTTCTMTCATAAGTAATATTGTTGTTTTTGCTTCGCCCAGGTTATCCGATGCGTGCAGTACAGAAAACAGCTGCGGAAAAATCGTTTGACCAAGGAGCAATTAAAGAAAATTCCAACGCACAAGTTCAGGAAAGGTAACCGTTAATGAAAATATTGAGCACATGTTCACAAACACAAACCTGTGTTTCWTATAAAAGCCWTTTGCACACATACACTGCAGTCTTTAAATGTCTGGATGTGTTCTAGACGAGCGCTGCGTGAGAACCGTTTGCTCCCAGCTTTATACATTTTTCATGCTTCTCTGAGGTAAATGTCTGAAGATCATTAGATGAGCTGCTGTGCAAACAAAGCTAAGACTCTTCCAGAACATTTACTGCAAACAAGGAAAGCTGTCAGAAACCCTTATTTACCTCATCTTACCCTTATCTCATCAAGCTGTGAAAAGAAACACGGCAAGCTTTAAATCATGTCCTCAGCATCATGTGCTGTTTTTATGACTCCGTACAAATGTTTTTTTTTTTATCTCACATGTTCTTTGCTGTGAGAGAAGATCTGCTCAGAAAATGTTCTGTGACCATGTGACAAACGCAAATACAGAAAATTCTTGGAGTTAATTTTCTTTACATGACTTGTTAAATACAGTGCTGAGGTTTCACACACCCCGCTTTATGTTCTTGTTTAAAAGAAATAATCCTCAGGCAGTGAAAAGAAGACTAAACTACATTTTAAGGAGAAAGTTCGGAAGATAAATTATCTAAATGAAAGACGCTGATTATCTTAGTGGAAGTAAGCTGCTTAAAGTCCAAATCAAGACTTTTACTTTACTTGAACTTTCAACCTCCTGAGCTAATCAGACACATTTAGTTCAGATGTTATTATCATTCTGTCTGTGCAACAGTGTAATCCTAAAACTGTGCTTAAAGATCACTTTTTTAGTTTTACATTTATTCATTCCCAGAGGCATTTTGTTGTATAATTTCATATTTGAAATAACGATTCATGTTCTTGGGGTTGTTAGAATTAAAGACTGTTAAAAAAATAAAATAAAACAGTTATTGTTGTTAGGAATAGGATTGATTTACTGAAGCTAAAAGATGCTTAAATGTTTCTGTAGATATTCAGACAAAGGAGTTAGATTAAAGGGATCCCTGATTAGTTGTAATATTAGACTTTATTTGATAAAAATATATTTTTACTCTAAAATAAAGACTGTAAAAATACACAACGCTATATTGCCTTATATGTATTAGCTCTGCGCTAGCACAACAAACTAACAAGCTAAACTGAGGTCCTCCATCCATATTTTCAGTTGCAGCTGAGTCATTTTTGTGTTTCCTCTCTCTGTCATGTGGATGGAGGACCTCAGTGACGAGAGGAGGATGTGTAGCGCTGAGCTAATACATRTATATGGTGATAGCATCGGAGCTAAAGCAAACAGGCTAAGCTGAGGTTCTTCTTCCATGAAGCAGCTCTGTTGTCCTCCATCCATATTTTCAGTTACAGGCTGAGTCATTTCTACCTTCTCCTCTCTGTCAACGCTCTCTGGTTTCATTTAAAAGCTAGCAGCCTCGCACTGAGGACCTATCCACGTCATCATTTGCCCAGAATGCTTTGCACGTAAATAAAATGGCTCCGTCCATGTTAAAATATATTTTTAAACTTTTAGTTTAAAAATGATAAAAACTAAACATCCTACAGTATTTTTAGTCTTTATTTTACAGTTAAAATAAATGTTTATTAAATAAAGTCTAATGTTACAACTAATCATGGATCCCTTTAAAAAAATCTTGTTTTTTTTTCCTCAAGTGGTAAGTTTTAAACATGCTATAAAAATCAGTTCTGTTTCTGAACGTCTTGTTTATTCATACACTTTCAACTGGCTTAATTTATTTAAGCTAGCTTTTAGTTTTAACGTGGTGTGTTCACTTTTTTACTAATTTGAATAAAATAAATTATATTGTTCTGTATTTTAGGAGATGACTATGATGTTTGTGCCATCTGCCTGGATGAGTATGAAGAAGGAGACAAGCTGAGAGTTTTACCGTGCTCACATGGTAAATCAGTTATTTTGTTGATCATCATGTTGGTGCATAAGTACATAAAGCAGATTTTAGAAGTTTTCCTAGTAGTAAATATATATTTGTATTTGCTYGTGTTGTACATTTTAGTGAATAAAGCTTGAGTTGTTGCTGTCCTTTCTTGTTTGCCAGCGTACCACTGTAAGTGTGTCGACCCGTGGCTCACGCAGACCAAGAAGACGTGTCCCGTGTGCAAACAGCGCGTGACCAAGAAAAACCCGGAGCACTCCGAGTCCGACTCCGAGGAGGAAGCCGAAGGACGCGGAGAGGGAGAAGGAACTTACGATGCCAACTCGGAGCGCACTCCTCTGCTCCGCCCCTCCAGCCCCGGGTCYTCAGCGGACTATTCAGCCACCACCGTCACCACCGCCCAGTGCCTTGTCTCCCCTGCACACTGCGACTCCCCCATCCTGGGCTACGAGGGCTACGAAGGCTACTACTCCCCGCAGGAGGACACAGACTCAGAAAGCGGCGACACAGACGACCAGCACCACAGCGACGACGACACCGCTCAGCTCATCGGTAGGGGTCGAGTGCTAGCCTGAGTTTTTCTGAGTGACATCAGCCAAGTTTTACTTTTTTAAAAACCTAAAGGAGGCGTTTCTACCTTTACACACTCGGTTACGTTAAATAGTTAGCTCCGTTTTTAGAATAACTTCCACTGGGGTTGGGCGATTGGAGTCCATCGGTGGTAGGTTTTTATCTGTTTTTATTTTAGCTAGTTTAACTTTAATAAGAGTTACAGCCAAGAGAGTATATTTTAATTCCTACCTGTACACACTGTAATACACCTGACTGTGTGCACCACCTCTTCTACTTCCAGCAGCAACGCCTCCGACTTTAGTCTTTAAACTTTAGTTTTTCTTGTGAGTCAGTGGGACGTTAGCTGTTACTGTGAATACAGACTCAGCTAATTAGACAACTACGCTCGTTTTACATTAATTGGTGAAACTGTGGCAGTCAGTGCACAGTGAACAACTTTTAGTTTGACTCTTCACCAAAGCGGTCATCAGGAAATGAGTTGTTTTTCAAGACATGTTCCTGCAGCTTCCATGTTTCAAAACTACTGAACGCTGTGCCACTAAGGGCGTTCTGTTTGTGGGATGAAGCTGTCTTTAGCTCCTAATATCAGCTCAGAGCTGCTTGCACAGATMTTTTTGGGTTTGACTAACTCCTTTTTTTAAAAAATCTGGAAGTTTGCCTGGTTGGTCGCTCCTCAAAATACAAAACACTTAAACACACCTGTGCGTTTAAATCACCAATCATTTAGTTGTTGGGCTGATGATGGATGATCTGTTTTGACTGAAGTCCAAACCTGAGAATCACAACCTAATCTCCAGTACTGTACACAGTCCACAGGCACTCTGGGTAAAGTGGCTCTTAAGGTTTCTCCTTTGGGGTTTTAAATTAGATGGATGGTTTTATGTTGATTTAATCGTTTTTATTTCTTTTGTTCACAGTTTTAAATTGTTTCCATTTCTAAACAAATTTCTACATATGGGGTGCTTTTTTTAAATATATAAATGGTTTAGATCTTTTTCACACTCTTTACAAGTAAACATTGATGTTTTTAGTTATCAGATTTTTCTCATTTAATAATTGTTKGTAATAACATTGACTATTGTGGTCATTTGACAGTTTTTCTGCTGCTTTTACATTTTTGCTGACATTGCTGTGCAGGAAGTTAGGCAAAGACTTGATGTGTTTCCAGTTGAATAAACTCAGGATCAAGTCAGAGTTAAAGGTCAGTTGAAATTGTAAATGTGTAATATAATGGATAGTTTATAGGGTTCAAGGCCTGCAAACTGTTCTGCTTCCTTTTAAGAAGCAATCGAGTCAAATTGATTTATTTGATTTCTGTTTTTCTGCTATTTTCACAGTAAAATGTTGCATGAAAATCATGGGAGCCTAGAGGTTATTTTTTAAATTAAATGATTTGCCTTACATTGACCCTGAACTTCATGTTAAATGTTTAAACTAGAAGAGACGAGGAAAAATAATTGTTTCTGCCATTTTTTTTTTTTTCAGACAAACAAAACCTCCATTTTTCCCTCATAGGTTTAATGRTGACAACAATACAAGGAGGCAGCACACTTAACAGAAATTTAAAAGCGACAAATCATGCAAAAGCCACTTTTTCATCCCTTATACAGTATATATTTTGTTGTGTACTTTGAGTCTCTAGGAGTGCAGAAAAGTTGAGTTTAGTTTCTCCTGGTGCTGCATAGATATCTTTATATTCTGTTTAGATCATGTTTTTCAGTCCGTTAAGTTTTCTCTGATGTATTTAGAACATTAACGACACAATATTTGCTACAGAGCTGCTAAACAAGGTCATGGACTTCCAGATAGCCAAATTTATGAATCCGCAGTTCTGCAGGTCCAGACTCCGGCTCCAACATGTAAGGCTGGATGAACAAGTCTTTCAATGTTGACATCTTTTAATTAATTTATAAACTAGAAGTTTCTGCGCTGATAGATGCAGTTCTGTTACTTTTAGCTAACCTTCTGCTATTTCTAGATTTTAGACAGCCGTTTTCTACTTTTAGCTAATATTTGTTACTTTTAAGATTTAGTTCCTGTTTTTGTTTCTTTTTTCTTTTAGCTACCAGCTGCTGCTTTTAGCTTTTTCACAGATGTTTGCCAATTTGAGCTTCTAGCAAAGCTTTAAGTGCTTTTTGCCTGTATTTCTGCTACCTATAGATTTAGACAGCCTGCTATTAAACTACAAAAATAGCTGCACCTGGTGAAGGGGGCGGGGTCTGAAGCACCTTGTTTGGATTTAAAGAGACGGCGTCAAAACGAGTTGRTCTGGKAGACACTTCAGAAAAGGGGTGAAAGAGGGGCTTGTGGAGTTACAATAAGGAGSAATTCAGACCAAAGCACTGCAGTTCCACTTTATACAGACCTCAACTGAATGATTTAAATGTGAAAAAGAAGGATTTAAAAGCAGGATATGTCTCCTTTAACAAGTTAATTGGGTTAATTTCTATTGAGATGATCAGGTCGGGGTTCATGGTGCAAAAAAGCCTCAAAAGGTGTTTTGTCTAAATTATTTTACTGCTCAAAATGAAGGAATTCGTTGCACTTTTAGCTTTATAGGTTGACCTTGAAGGCTTTAAAGAAATTGAAGCGTTTCTTTAGATAAATGCACTGTAGTCAGGCAAACTCAGACTTTTCTTTTAGGATTTCTGTCTTTTTCTAATGACATGTAGTGCAATTATTTTAACATTTAAGAGCTCCTAAAAGTTCATTTTATCAGATTATTGTCATATCTCATCTTTCACAGCACCTTCATAAAGAAAATGTTGCTTATATGATGTACATAAGTTTTGTTTGTGGGGATTTTAGTTTTTTAGCAGCAGAATAATAAACATCAACAGGATTGTAGAGTTACAGCATTCCTTTGTCTGTGATTGACTTCACTTTTAAGGTTTGACTAGCACTTTTTTTGGCAAAATACTATGTCATAAATAAAAAAAATATGTTTTATTTTTACAATATGCTTCAATTATCTTTTGTACTGTATGTTTTTTTTCTTTCTGTGCCTCAGCTCAAACGACTGTTGACAGGAAGCCTAGAATCCCCTCGGTGTTAGTTTTCACTGTTTTTTTTTTTKTTTAGAACGTGCCGCTATTTTTTTTTTAACACATGTACAGTGTTGAGGATCTTTCTATTGCAAGCTGAGAAGAACAGAGTAAATGTGTTATTTGTGGAAGATTAAATGACATGAAACTAATCATTGACACAAATAATTCATGATAATAAAAAGCCACTATAGTTAAAAAAGGTTTAAACTGAGTGTGGTTTTATTACAACTTTATTGAATAATTGTGTGATGTTTTTTTTTCTGTGCAGACTCCAATTCCTGGTTTCATCACCTCGTTTGTTCTCTTTGTTGAATTTATGTCAAATCCAAGCACAAATAAGTGACGTAGTTACAAAAAGAAAATCATAAGGTTAGGAAACACATTTAAAAGCATGAACAACATCTACATGTAATGCAGTTAAACACAGATCCCTGCAGTATCAACTTAAAAACGTTCAAGATTATWAAGACCAATAATTTGACCCTTCTGGACCACAAACAAGAAGCTTCTCATTACATCRGAGTTAAATAACTCATCAGATGACATGTAATTGTCCAATGGGAGGCTCTTACCTGTTTGCTTAGTTAAATCCAGGTGGTGACCCTTTTTTGCCAGGCAACATATAYTACCTTAGTTCACTCTTATAAGAATGAAAAATAAAGAAATGAGACAACTTTTGCTCAGAAATAAATGAAGTGGACATGTTTGACGTCAACCAGTTTAACATTCACCTGAGAGACTGATGAATGTTTTACATGGAGTTTTTTTTTTTAATCCTTGATATTTACTGCTGAGGGTGGCTCAGTTGCTGTTGCCTCAGCAAGGAGGTTGCCGAATGAAATCCCAGCCAGGGACCTTTCTGGAAAAGTAAATAAAAAATAGTTTGCATGTTCTCTCTGTGCATGTGTGGGTTTTCTCAGGCTACTCTGATTTCCTCCCACAGTTGTCCCAAATTTGTGACCGTTAGGCTAATTGGTAAATTGTCCCTGTGTGAGTAAGGGAATATTTGTTTGTCTTTGTCTCTCTGTGTCCCTGTGATGGACTTGTGACCTGTCCAGGATGTTCCTCGCACAGTGACCCTGAAAGGAARAAGCAGAAAAAGATGGATTTTCTGCTGGTCAAAGTAAGCTGAACCAGATCAGGTCRCAGGTGTATTTTTTAAATAATAAAAGCCCAGCTCACCTCCCAAAAAAAAAAAAAAGCCTAAAATATTCTGTTAATTGCAYCTCCTAACCTACAGGAGTGAACTAATTAGAGCTCAGCTGGTTAATTAACTGAGCTCCAGGTTACAATGTCTCATCAGTGAAAAAAAAAAGGTAAATAAATGGAAATGTTATTGTCACTGATGTATTTCTGGTTGTAGCTGATTTTGTGACCTGATCTGATCTGTTTTGCTGCTGCATGTATTCTGAAGCCGCCTCCTTCACACCGAGCTGCTCATTCATCCAGACTTCCTGTGTGGCTGGGATTTAGTTCTTTTAATCCTTTCCTTATTTTAACATTTTGTGCATCTTTAATCACGGTGCCTGCTGCGTTGAAGAAAAGTCGATTCATGTTTGAGCTCAGAGAACTGTTTTTGCTTCAGGTTGAGCAAAGTTTCAGTGGTCTTGGTAAATGACAGGTTTACTTCAGGTCTGTTCAAGGAGAAATAAAAGCACAGCGGCCTGACGTCACATTCTGCACTGCACAATAACCCCACAGATCTTATAAAAAGGTATTCCTCATGAGAAATCTCAAAGTTGAGTAATTGGAAACTGATTGACAATGTCTTCATGCTCCTATTCGCTGAGATGTTTGCTTCTTTTGTTTACATTAATGTCTTTTTTCTGCTTGACTCAGGAGCAATTCCCCAACACCACCATAAGGTAAACTATATATATAGTTTCTTTTAACTATAGTGTCATTTGCTTGTCTTAATTTCACTCAAATTTAAAAAATGACAAAAAGTATATCTGCTTGTTTATTTTGGGGGTTAAGTGAATACTTCATATTTTGAACATCCTTTTCCATAATCCATAAATTTAATCACCCTCTTTGTTTCTAGAATTATTCATTCAGGATTCATTTGGTGATTTGTTTATGTAAGATTTGTTCATAAAATGTTAATGCACTAAGCTTAAACAAAGCATGGCATACTTCTCAGCAGCTTACAATTTAAAAATATATGTAATTGTTTGTTAACTGCACTAATAAAAAAGTTTTTTTCCAGGGTTTTTTGGGCAGCTCTTATCAAAAGCCGATGACCTCCTCTCTCCTGAAAGCCAACAGCGGTTCTGGAGAAAACRTGGCTTTTAATGGCCAAAGCGTTCTCCAGATGGAGCCGGCGTTCCTGCTGGAGAACGGAGCCCAGACCACCCCAGTGTGGCCCCGCACCATGCTGGATGTAAYCCAGCTGATAAAATGGTCACAGTCCTCCTGGCACTGACCAGTTATACATCGGGAAACAAAGCAGCCACTGTTCAAAAGAATGTCCCAACACAGACGAGCTACATCTAATGGCCAGAAT